ATACCCCTCGTACTTAAATAGTCCTTTAGGATGAGTAAAAAATTGTACTGGATCTTTATCTGATCTAGGGAAGGAAATATTTCAAGAATTTACTATTTGACCGATCTGAATAGAACTTGAATTCTCCGCAGAAGCTGAACAATACGGAGGAATTAATCTATTCTGTGATCTATTCGAAGAAAACCTCTAAATCGATTTTGATCCGCAGACATAAAATGATTTTGTCCAATTTGTTCATCCTCTCTAATGTCACTATTATTCCATGGAAACATTGAACCTATTCTACGATAAATTGATCTTGACAAATCACGATCAGGAATATCAAAATTATAACCGGAATACCCCAAATCACGATTCACGTTCTTATTAACTTGAATAACGTTATGCCTTAAATAATCGATCATTTGACTATACTGATCTTCATTTACGAAAATTTCTTCGTCGATCAAAGTTCCGTCTGTCAACGGCTTACTAACCATTACTCGGATTAAACGAGGGGTAGAGTTTTCAATATTCGGTTCTGAATTCGCACGCGAGTTCCCAGCGCCCTCTATTCCGTTATTAATAGATCGAAAATTTTCATTTAGCGACCCAGGAACAGTGTCGAAACGTACGCGTCTTGAATCGTTTTCAATTCGCTCGATCTGTCGAACCGAATTTAAGTCACCACGATTTTGAACTAATTGTTCATTTTGGGTATGATTAACCGAAGATCGAGGGTGAACTGACGGTTGTTTATTTTTACGCGAATCAATATCGATCAATTATTCGTCGGAGGAAAAAGATTGTTCTATTATTCGCGCTTCTCCCCTTTCAGAGCGTAAGTTACCCCGAGAGCTTACGATATTTGGAACTTGATCGAATTTAGCCGCCAACGCAATCAAGACTTCTTCCAATGAGTCTATTCGACGATGCATTGCAGATGTAACGTAAAGAGAGGGGGTGTCACTTCTACCATTTCCCCTTCCAATCGTAGATCTCATTGCAAAATCGTAAAGACTTCCGGTACTATTACGCGATAATGATTTTAACTGATCTGCATTTATACCCGAAAAATTTCGCGTATTAGGCAAAGTCGAATTCAGCTATTTATAATTGTTAATTACAGAAAAAAAATTCAATATGTTTAAGTTAATAATTTTTCTTTAGACAAGTGATAAGTTCAAAAAACATGACAAAACTAAATGAGAAAAAAAATTCAATAAATAAATTTTACTTTGCACAAAAACCCAACAGCAGAGCAAGATCTAACTGTCAAAACAAAACTTTTATGCAAAATAAGCAATAATTAAGACAAAAATTTCTATTCCAACTAGCGACATACACCTCGCTCGCTAACGCTCGCTTGTCATCTTATTTATTTCTCCTTACATATATATTTATTATTACACATTATTATTATAATATTTGAAATTTTATTATTTATTGAATAGCATCTTCATTGTTAAAATATACATATAAGTAGTATATGTACATATTAATATTAATTTTGTATATAATTGCATATTATTAAATTAATAATTGAGTTCTTTTGATGAATTTTAATCTAATTTTTAAGAATAATTTCAATAATTACATTTTTCGAGAAAATTTATTAAAATTGAATTATTGCGAGGATTTTATAAAAAAAGTTTTAAATAATTGATTTTTTAATAACAATTTAGATAAATTCTATTTTTAATATTTCAATTCTTATGAAAGTTTAATTCTTTTAGAAAATAATTGAATATTCTTGTAGAATTTTGTCAAAATGTTTTTAGATAATTAAATTCTTTTTGGAAATTTTATTAAAATATAATAGAAATACAAATTATTGAATTAAGAAAAATTTGTGAAAATAATCGAATTCTTGTGTTGGATATAATTGAATTCTTGTTATTTATAGAAATAATGGAACTTTTACAATGAATTTTATTAAAATTTTTTAGGAAACTCCAGGATGTCCTTAGTATATTTTTTTAACAATAAAAAATTATTGTTTAAACAAATTATTGAAAATTTAATTTTTCTTAACTTTTTTTTAATGTTATAAAAAATTGGAACTGCCCTTGATATAAAAATTTTAATTTGTAGTATCAAAAAAATAGTTATTTGTAGCAAATTCGAATTATTTAAGTCAAATGAATGGAATAATTGAATCTAATAAATATTGCTTTAAATCAATTAGGTCAATTACTTGATTCAGTAATGCATGGATTTTAATTCAAATAAATATTTATTTGCATCAATAAAATAATTTTTTTGCAACACTAACCTGTAAAATTGGATTTTACACACAGAAAACTGTGTGTAAAGTACTTCTTTTTATAGCGGTGTGTAAAGTTTTACTTTACACACCGCTAGCAGTGTGTAAAGTGATTTTTAGTGCGTAAAATGGTTACTTAACGTATTCTTGTGACTGTTTGATGAGAAACAATGAAGTTAAGCTTTTAAACAACAATTTGCAATCACATTTTTTTATTTTAGTTTCTAGAAAACTTCATTTAACAGTGCCCCCACTACACCTAAACTTACAGTAATATTGGCAATATTGCTGCAAGATTAGTTGTTGTAGTGTTGCAAAAAATTTCGTATGGCACTCGTGCGTAAATCAGATTATACTTGTGTGACTTGCAGCACTCGCCTTCGGCTCGAGCTGCAAACGTCACACTCGTATAATCAACGATTTTACGCACTTGTATCATAAATAACTATTTTAAAATAACTAAATATATATGGGACATTCCGCACGGACAAAATTAAAATTTTATCAGATTCGATTAAAACTTGTTACTCGGTGGTTTTTAGGGTCGCTGATTACGAATCTAGACTACCGGTCAAAATTGAGAGACCATCCGTTTTCAGGTGATTGAAAAACATTTTAAAACATAAAATGTATGGAAACTAAAATATTTTGCTTCTTATTTTTTGAAAGATGATAAAATTTTGAAAAGAACAAGATCTTTTAGAAGTGATTTGGCCAATATTTTATTTAGATATTTTTAAAAAATTGTCATTTTCAATGTCTTACAAAAATTTGAATAACTTTTAAAATAATGAACGCTTTTTAATGATCTTAAGCTTATTTTTTAGGTCATTTGCTACACTATAAGAATTACTTATAGGCATTAACGTGTAATTTTTTTCCTAGAAAATGCAGGCCGTCAAAGTTGGAACAAAAAAATTCAAAAAATTTGGAACAATTTTTCTGTACTAAAAACTATTTTAGAAAATATATAAAACATTATGTGCACGGAGAGAAATTTATAGTAGTGGGTAACATAATTGTGGTTAGGGTGACCATCTTTAATGCTACGTATACAGACAGCTATCTAGATAGTCACCGTTACCATCAATATCATCAGGAGTAACATCTTGGTAGTAAGGGGTAGCATAACTATATTTTTTTTAGCATCTGTGATGGTTGGCAGTAGCATAATGATAGTATCGTGTAACATCATCTTTTTAACATCAAAATCTGACTATCCATTTCTCTCAGTGTGGTGTAGATTTTTCAAGAAAATTTAATAAAAAAAATACGTTTGAATTTTAAAAATTATTTTTCTGTAAATAAGAATGTTTCAAATTTTTTATATTTTTTTGGTTCAAGTTTTTATTTTAGAAGTTATTCAAATTTTTGTAAAACATTGAAAATGGCGATTTTTTAAAAATATCTAAATGAATTATTGGCCAAACGACTTCTGAAATATCTTCTTCTGTTCAAAATTTTATCATCTTTAAAAAAATGAGCAGAAAAAAATTTTAGTTTCAATAAATTTTATGTTTTAAAACGATTTTCATTCGACTGAAAATGGGTGGTCTCTCAATTTTGACGGGTAGTCTAAAGTCACTTTTTAAAAATTCAAAATGGCGGATCCAATATGAAGAAAAAATTTTCAAATTTATCCTATTCCCTTAAAACGTGTTACTCGGGGGCTTTTAGGGTCGCAGATTATGAATATAAAGTTACTTTGTAGAACTTGAAAATGATGAATCCAATATGGTGGAAAATTTTTTAAATTTGATCAGATTTAATTAAAAAGTGTTACTCGGGTGTTTTTAGCATATCTGATTACGAATTTGAAGTCACTTTTAAGAAATTCTAGCTTCATACTGTTCTATAATGTAAACAATTTGTTATTATTACAGACTTTAAGCGAAATGTATCAAAATTGGACATTTTTTCAGTCATATCCCGCGTGGAAATGTAATAATGGGTAAAATCTAATGAACATTGGGTAAAATATTAAACAAAAGTAAAAACGATTTTACCCACAGTTTTCGACAATTGTCAAAATATGAGCAACTATTGCTCATGTCCCTTTCCCATGGTCCAAGCTAAAGATTTCTTCAAACCTAAGATTGGCAAAAACTTCTTAACTATTGGGAAATTATTAATATTAAAATTTTTTCTAATTTTTAACCATTGAAAATATCTGGAGAACCATTGGAAAAATGTTTATATTAAAAATTGTAGAATTTATAATTCATATACATATATATAATTTTTTCTCATTGCCGGGAACTTTTTTATGTTGAAGTTTTTAGAGCAATGCTAAAATCTCTCTAACAAACTGAAAAACATAAAATTAAAATGTTTTTGAACATTAGTTTAAAAGTCATCAATCAAGCATTGAACAAATTTTATATCTTGAAATTGTTTAATTTTTGCACAATTGCTAAAATCGAGCCAATCATTAAAAAAACATAGAATTTAGAAAATTTTAACAATCAATTAAATCTCATTAACTAAACAAAGAAAAAATATACATTACGCCTTAAAATAAGATTCAAAATATTTATTATTGTTAAATTCTTATCAAATAGTAAAGGATATTTTTAATCCTTAAATTTGCGAGATTTAAATAATATTCTAATAATATTTCAAATTAATTTAAAAATTATAATATTTGCCTTTAAATTGTAATGTTTATAAATTAATCTTCATTGCGCATATTAAATAAATTATATAATTAATGTTAAATTTTTTAAACTTATTTTTTAACGTGGTTTATCTTTTTTTAAATTAATTTTTTTTGTTTTTTTCTTTCCATTTGCTCGTCAGAATCTTCTCCATTTGTTGAACTGTCTGCTTCCGGGGTTTCAGTTTTTCTTGAACGTTTATTTCGTTTCTTTCTTTCCATTTGGTCGTCAGAATCTTCTTCATTTGTTGAACTGTCTGCTTCCGGGGTTTTAGTTTTTCTTGAACGTTTATTATTAGTTTTTGATCTAGGGTTTCGAATTGTTCCGCACATATTGTTAATAGCAGTATGATATTGTTGAACAGTGAATGGTTCATCTTTATTTGTCCTTTTTCTTGTAATGTATACTATACATAAAAATCAAAGAATTGATTTAATTATTTAAAGAAAAGGCGATCGTTAAATAAAAAAAGTTACTGTCTTTGGAAAATATTTTGCATAATTAAAAGAAATATTTTTTGCAACAATTATATATGTTTTATATTGATGCAGGGTTGCCACAGGTCAGGGAAGTCAGGGAAATCAGGGAAAAGTCAGGGATTTTTACTAAAAGTACTGCAAAAAATTGAATTTTTAAAATTCATGAGAAAACTTTGAATTTTTTTCCTTTTTGCCTCGTAAATTATGAAATTACCTCGAATTTTAATACAAAACCTTCAATTTTTTCAATTTCTGACAATAATTTCTTTTTAAATACTTAATTTTTCAAAAACTATCATAAAATTATGACTTACAAATTATTTTATAAATAATTTTTACAATTTTCATAAATACTAGATTGATAGAAGAATTTGAGTTAAAAATACTAAAAAAATTGGATTTTGGAAAAGTTACAAATGATTACAGAAATTCAATTATTTTCAAAAGTTAAAAAAATTCTTCGCAAAATTTCAATTATGTTCAAAAATTAAAAAAAAATTGTCGTCAAAATTTCAATCATCTTTATAAATAATAAAATTCTTCATCGAAATTCAATTATTTTTAAAAATTCTAATAAAATTCTTGTCAAAATTCCACAGGAATTCAATTATTCAATATTTAATAAATTTCTTTGAAATAATTCAATTATTTTCATAAGTAAAAAATTTTCACAGGAATTCAATTATTTAAAATACAAAATTTCATAAAATTTTTCGAAAAATATAAATTATATAAAAAGATTTTTATAAAATATTTTCATGAATTCAATTATTTTTATAAATAATAAAATTCTTCACCGAAATTCAATTACTTCTATAAACTTGAATAAAATTCGTTCGAAGAATTAAATTATTTTCAAAATAATAAAATTCTTCTCCAAAATTCAATTATGTTCAAAAAATTTTTAAAAATTCTTGTCAAAATTTCAATTATCTTTATAAATAATAAAATTCTTTATCGAAATTCAATTATATTTAAGAATTTTAATAAAATTCTTGTCAAAATTTTGTAGGAATTCAATTATTCAATTTTTAATAAATCAATTCAAAATAATTCCATTATTATAAAATTCTTTATGAGAATTCAATTTTAACAAACATTCAATTATTCAAAAAATTATTTATTTTTTAATTTAAATAATTGAATTTTTTTAGAATTTTCTAATAAAAGTTGATTTAAAAATGAATAAACAAATAATCGATTTATTATTATTTATAAAAATAATTGAATTATTGCAACGAATTTTATTACATTTTTTTTAAATAATTGAATTTTTGTGAAATTGTACTTCTTGTAAAAATAATTGAATTCTTGCGAAGGATTTTTTTAGGATTTTTGTAAATAATTAACTTATTTTAAAAAATTTTATGGCAATTTAAATTATTACAAAACATGAAGACGATCACTCCGGAGTGATCGTCTTCTTCATGTTTTGTAATAATATCCTTATAAGTTGTTGAATTTCAAAAAGGTTTAAATTTGAATATTTTGAAGAATTTTAATTCCTACCGAAAAATAATAATGATTAAATATTTATTTAAGAAAGAAGTTATTGATGTTTTTAAATAATTTTACAATTAAAAAAGTTTGTAAATAAATGTAATACAACATTTTTTTTGAGTATCTAATAATTTTTAGAGTGAATCAGAATATTCTTTAGAGTCAGGGAAAAAGTGAATTTTTTTTCTGGAAATCAGGGAAAAGTCAGGGAAAAATAAAATTAAATATTTGTGGCAACCCTGTGATGGAAATAAGTATACACTTGTAATAAATTATGAACTTACAGAAAACAGCTTCTCTTATATCGTCTGAAATTCCCTTTTTTTTCCCTTTCCCTAAGACTGTCAAATTGCATAATTCGTCTTTTCCCACCAGTTGCAAGAGTAATCTTCGAGTTAATTCTTTTGGATTATTTCGAAACCGCTTGATCATGAACAATTTTGACGACTGAATATATACAGGAAACTCTTTGCATAATTGGGTCATGTCCTTTTTTCAAATTAAGAAATTATTTTAAACATTAAAATTTTTTTAAATCGCATGAAGCATTTGAATTAAAAAAGATTAAAGTAAACGTTCTGATAAAAAACTTTCAAAACAGAACATTTAAAATTTATATACAATAATTTCTTCTAGAAAAATTGAAATTTAAAACATAAAAAATTCTTTGTATAAATACGAATAAACTGACTTGTGATACAATTGAATTTGAATTTGAAGTTTCATTGACCCTGTCATAATTGCATTGACTGCGAGCAAGTTCTGTTACACGTTCCAATATTTTTAACGTATCTTGAGTTACAACTGTATAAAATAATTACAAATTCGAATTAAATAATTAATTTAAAATAAGTGTAAGCTATTAAAAATTATAAAAGAACAACATGTTAATGTATTTTAAAATCAAAAATAAACAATTAATATTTTAGTAAATGAATTATTTATTTATATGAAAGATTTTTTAAGTTATTTCAATTATATGTTATTATTAATTAATTTATTATTAATTTATTTATTATTTATTATTTATTATTATTTATTATTATTTATTATTATTTATTATTTATTATTTATTATTCAACATGTCAAAATATCTTAAAAGCATAAATAAACAATTAATATTTTAGTAAATAAATTATTTAATTATTTGAAAGAGTTTTTAAGTTATTTCAACTATATGTGATTTTACCTAATCCGTCAAATATATTTATCACGTTTGAAGAAACACTTCTGGACTCTTTGACATTTTTTTTTGGTTTAATTTCTTCATCTGTACTATTAGCTTCGCTTTCGTCCTGTATTTCCTTATATTCCATAGGTTCAATAGTTTCCACTTCTTCTTCCTCATTCCTTTTCTCTTCGATTTCGTCCTCTCCAGATACACTTTCCTTCCTATCTGTATCTTCTTTTCCTTTCTTTTGGGTCTCTTTTTCTACATTAATTTTACGTTTAATTTTTTTCCTTTCTCTTTCCTCATTTCCTTTAATTTTCTTAATTTCATTTCTTATCTTATTTTCTTCTTTCTTTTTTTCATCTTTTTCAATTTTATCAACTTCATTGTTAAATTCTTCTCTGTCACATTTTGGTCCAGTTTTCTTAGTTTCCCTTATTTCATTTTTCTGATCTTTGCGACCCTTTACTTTATTTTTATCAGCTTCAGTATTGTCCCTTTCTATGTCCCCTTTTCGTTCATTCTTTTTAGCATCTTTCTTTTCCATTGTTTCTTTTTCTTTGATTGTTTCCATTTCACTATTTCTATACTTTTGATGTTTGCTATTTTTTTCCTTACTTGTTCCTGCTTTACTAGTTTTTTGCAGTAAATCGTTAATTTTCTTAATTCCTTTTTTCTGACTTCCTTCCTCTTCTTTCTCTTTGTTCCTTCTTCTACAAGTCTCACCGGTTCTTTTTTCAATACATTCTTCTTTCTCAATTCTCTTCGTTCCTCTTTTTTCATTATCTGAATCTTCGTTTTCTTTTTTCTGATCTATTCCAGTTTCATTTTCAGTTTCAATTTCAGTTTCAGTTTCAATTTCAGTTTCAGTTTCAGATTCAGTTTCAGTTTCAGTTCAATTCTATTTCTTCATTATCTTCATTTTTGCTATCTTGCTTTCTTTTTAATCCAGTTTCACTTTCTTTATTAACAGTTTCATTCTTTTTCTTTCCCTGATATTCGTTTTCATTCTTCTTTTTCGTAAATTCTCTATCCTTTTTCTCACTTTTATTTCTATTATCAATTTTCTTATTTATTTTTCTTTTTGTAATTCCTTGATCTTCGTTAACTTCTGGCTTCCTTTTTGTCGTTTTCAAATCTTTTTCCTTATTTTTCTCAATCTCCTTAATTATTAAGTCGGCTTGTTGATCATCTTTTTCTCTATCTAAAAAAAAAGTTTAATAAACTAATGGCTTCTAAACAATTAAAAGAAAACTTTGTTTATTTTTTTTTTAAATTCTAAAAAATTATTAAACAATTTCGAAATAAGGGCTTTGATAAAATTTGCTTTAACATGAGTATGATTTTACATTGCTAGTAAAATATTAAAAAAAAATTAACAAATTACGCATTAAAATTATTTTTAATTTTTAATAATTAATTGAATTACTTTGAGAAGTCCCAGGAAGTGGAAGTTTTGTGGATATATACTTTTCCAAAGTTTTGTTAGTTTGTATCCTCATTTTTTTTTTTATTTTTTCAGCAGCTTTATCGATATTTGATTTTTCTTTAATGATCTTATCTATTTTTCCTTTTTTTGATTTTTGAATTATTTCTCCTTCGACAGATACATTAATTTTCTGAAGAAATTGTTTATCTTCTGAAATCAATAATATTTAATTAATTTTTATATACATATATATATATATATATATATATATATATATATATATATATTGTTACGTGAAAAGTAACTTACCTCTTAACATTTGTTATCCTCGTTTTAAATAAGAAATTCCGAAGAAATCTTATTTGGGAATGAGGAAAAAGAATCAATGAATAAAAGTTAAGAATTAGTTAAAATGAAATTTATTATAAAATAGTATATAATGATTTCTTGAAGTTCTTTATTTGTATGTTGCCGAGAGAAGACCAGTTCCAATAAACACCTTTAACAAATAGGCGTTTATTAGATATAGAAATTGTATCGAAAGAATATGATGAAAAGATTTAGTTAATTACCTTTATTGCTTCTTTGTGAAGCTGAAAACCCGTTCTCCGCTCGTGCGTCCACAGTCAGTTCAGATGCACCGCCTTTCCAATTTTTACTGCTTGGAGGTTTGACAATGGCTCGGTCACACACGAGATGGGTATTACTTAGACTGGGATAATCGTAGGTAACGAGTATAGATTCGTACTGACTACTGGTACAGAGATGATGTCGATCGCTTTGATTTAATTTAGATACTGACTGGATGCTGACTAGATACTGATTTTTGGATCCAAATTTAGGGCCTTATATACCCAGATCACATCCGTGTATCGACGTAATAGGGTTGTAAAAAGATTGCTCATTGATGGGTGTTTGTCAAGTTTGCTTGGTAACAGGTCTGGTCTAAGGTTACTTAGAGGTCACACACGTGGCATGTGACACCTCCCCTCTTAAATCAATCGCACAATTGAAAATTTGCGATTGAAGCTTCGGCAGAAGATTTGTCTAAAATTCTCGATATCGAAATACATAAGATTAACTTTCTTTTAAATCGTAGAATCGTAGAAAAAGAATTCCAAGAAAACATTATTCTAGTGTTCATTGTGAAGAACAAAATATTTTAGTAAATCGTAATACAATATGTTTGTTTAACATTATTGAGTAAAATCGTTTTAACATTATTTGTTAATTGAAAAAGTTTTGAGTAAGTCATAGAAAAATTTTGTATAAATCGTAGAACAATTTTTTAAAAATTTTGTATAAAAGAAAAATTTTGTTTAAATCGTAGAACAATAATCGTAGAAAAAGAAAAAATTTTGTTTGAATCGTAGAACAATTTTTGAAAACATTTTGTATTAAAAGAAAAATTTTGTTTAAATCGTAGAACAATTTTTGAAAACATTTTGTATAAAAAGAAAAATTTTGTTTAAATCGTAGAAAAAATTTTTTTTTTTTTTTTTTTTTTTTTAAAAATTTTGTATAAATCGTAGAATTTAGTTTAAATCGTAGAACAATTTTTTTTTAAAAAAAAAATTTTTTTTTTCTTTTTTTTTTTTTTTAAATCATAGAACAATTTTTGAAAAAATATTTTATGTAAAATAAAGTTGTTTAGTAATTGTTAATTAAAAATAATTTGTTTAATAATATTTGTTAATATTTTTAAATTATTCGTAGAATATTATTTGTTAAAAAAAAAAATATAATTATTAATAGTACATGATTATTTGTTAATATTTTGCAAAAAGTTAAAATTATTCGTGGTCTATTATTTGTTATTAGATCGTATTAGATCGAGTCGTACAATAATATAATTGTTCAATGTACATAGTTTACATTAAATGATTGAACATAATTTTTTTTTATATTTTATACATTATTTTTATTATTAGTCGTAGGGAACTAAGTATTGAAATCAAATCGTCAAATATTATCTGTTAATAACTCATAGAGCACAATTGCTTCACAGTGGTTGAGTAAGATTTATTTAATATTAATTGTTCATATTTCTTGTTAAAATATTTATTAAATTGTAGAAAAGATTTAAAAAAAATAGAAAGTTTATATATAATTTTTCCATCTTTTTTTTTCTTTATTTCATAAAGTCACTATTATAAGATTATTCGTAAAGAATAGTGAGTTTATGATTTTAATTAATTATCCTTTATGTATATATATTTTTTGTTTTGTTATTTATTTAATATGTAGTTATTATTATTTTTGTTTATCTAATGTTAAATTGAGAATAAATTGTTTTCTTCCCAAACTATATCTTGTAGTATTGCCCTTAATTCGATGTAACATTGTTTACAAAATAATGATCTTCTTACTACTTTGTATAATACTTCTTTGCATCTAAAGCAATCTAGGCTTATATTTGCACATGCTATTAAATGATCGTCTTGTCTCATCTCTAATTCATTGTCGAATAGCGGATAACAATCTTCGCAATATATTAACCCTTGTTGTTTGATAAATGTGTTTTTGGTTGTGACTTTTCTACAACATATATGTCGTATTAGTTCGTTATATAGTCTGTCTTGAAAAGCTGATCTAATAGGAGCTAATGTTTCGCTTTCATAAAAAGTTTGGTTTTCTGGAACCATTTTTTTTAATCAATGCTTTTCGAAGAATAGTTTAAAAAAAAAAATTTATATATAAGCAAAAGAAATTTTATTTTTTTATAACTTTCTTTAAAAGATTTAAACATATATTATTGATATTTTTATTGAATTCTGAATAGCGCTATAATTATTTCTGTTAAAAGTGTTATTAAGGTTATATATGTTATTTCTGAAAAAATTTTTTTATATTGTTTAAATGTTGTATTTGAAATTTTTGGAAATTCTGGTATATAATTAATTATTAAAGTTTTTGTTAGGTTATTTGGAAAGTTAAAAGAATTTAATAAAAGTGGCTTTTCTTCTAATTTATTACTTTGAATATTTAATTGTCTTTTATATGTTATTTTATATATGAGGGATTTATTTCTAAGAATCTTCTTCTTGTAAGATATAAAGAATAAATTGACATAATAAATGGATTTGTTTTTACTAAAGGAATTTACTAAATCCATGTATCATGTTTTTCTTTATAAAATCGTTTTATCAACTTCAAAATTTATTTAATAATTGAATCTCTTGCTACTTATAGATAAGAACATCAACAAATTAAAAATATTTATTCTTGTTATTAATTTTTAGTTTTGCAGCATTATTTTTTAAAAAATTTTGTAATTATTTTTATTTATTTATTTATTTATTTACTTTGTTTTACTGTAGAAATTGTAAATTTAAAAAATTTTAGTTTGATAAAAATTTTAATCTTTTATTTATAATATATCCGTGGAAATCTGGAGGAAGGTATTTTTAATACAGAAAATGACTTTGTAAATAATTTTTAAAGAATATTGAATCCCATAATCATTTGGAAATATGAATTAGTTTTAAATATGAGTTTGTATTTCATGTGTATCTCAGAAAAGATAAATTTATCGGTAATTATCATTTTCAAAATACATTCCTCCTAGGTGAGGAAAATGGGTATTGCTAAATAAGGATTGGTGAAAAATAGAAAAAATATATGATTAGTACTCCTGTTGAAAATATATGTTCTGCTTCTCAGATCTGAAACGAGAAAAAATTATATTAGATAATTGTTTTATATTTGTTAAGTTAAGAATTAATTTTTGATTTCTTTAATCTATTAATATGGACTATTAAAGGTTTTCCTTTAAAGTTAATTTTTACATTACCTTTTCCTAATATTTCTAAAATTTCATAAGGACCTGAGTATTGGTTTTCTAGTTTTTTAATTTTTCCTCCGTTTAATAAAAATACAAAGTCGCCATTTTTTATTTCTAGGGGATTAATTTTTCTATCATGATAAAATTTCGATTTTTCCTTTGCCGAAATTAAATTTTCCCTTGCTTGTGCTCTCATTTCGTGTAATTGTGTAACAAAGGTAGTTAAATATTCATCGTATGTTTGTAATTTTTCGTTTTGAGAAGGAGATTCGCTAGAGGGTTCACGAGCTAATTTTCCAAAGACAAGTTCGTATGGTGTGCATTTTGTTCCTTCGTGTATGCTAGTATTGTAGGAAAACATTGCTAATTCTAACCAATCGTCCCATTCAGAATTTTTCTCAATAAATTGTTTTAAGTATTCTGCTAAAACATGATGCGAACGTTCGAGTGACCCATTAGATTGAGGGTGAAAAGCTGTTGTACGAAATTGTTTAATTCTAAAACGTTTTGCTAATCTTTTTAATAAATTGCTCAAAAAGTCTCTTCCCTGGTCTGTTAGTACGCCTTTAGGTGAACCGAATATGCAAATGAATTTTTTCACGAATGCGTCTGCTATTGTAGCAGCTTGATGATTAGGTAAAGGGATTGCTAAAGAGTATTTTGTGAAGTTATCTTGAATTGTTAAAATGTACGTGTTGCCAGATTTAGTTGGAGGGTTAAAAGGTCCTACAATATCCATAGAAATTTTTTCAAAAGCAGTTGTAGGTGTGTCTGTGATAATCATTGGATTTTTAGTTTTAACGCGAACTAATTTCTTTAATTGACATTGTAAACATCCGTTTATGTATTTTTGAATATCTGTTTTTAAATTTTCCCAATAATATTTTTGACGAATTCTAGCTAAAGTTTTTGTTACTCCCTTATGGCCTCCGATTGCCGATGAATGATTTTCTTCTAATATCTGTTGTCTAATTTCTTTGTTAGGGTATTGCGTAATCCCATTACAAATTATAAATTTTGTTTTAGATTTTGAAAAAATATCTTGAATTAAAATTTTAATATCTTCCCAAGGAATGTGATTAATTTGAGATGTTTTTGCTATACTAATACTGCAAATGTTTAGTTTATCACTAATTGAAAGTAAAGAGTTAAAACATGATTTGATTGTATTTAGAGTATCAGTTAAGTTTTCTTTGACATTTTCTTGAATTGGAAGTGCAAAATGATAATATTTTCCCTTTTTAAATTCTTTTACTAAACCTTTTTGTAAATTATTAAATTTGGGTAGAATTGATTTTTTTGTTAAACTTTTAGATCCATTGTCGAGAGGGGTACCGTTAGTACTTACAAAATATAAATAATTGTCTTTTCGCATTGTTAATTGGTCACGACATTCTATCAAAATTTTATTACTCGTAGATTGTTTTTCTTGAACAGGAGGTGCTTGAGTAATTTCTTCTTTTCTTCTTAGATTACGCCCTTTGTCTTTGTTATTTTCTTCAATTTCACTTTCTTGTATTTTATCTTTTTCTTCAAAAATTTCTTCGTTATCCATGGCGTCTTGAAAGATTTCATTTTCTTCTTCATAAAATTCTTCATCGAGGGATTCTTCGAATATGTCGTCATCTTCTTTTGAACTATCATCTTCTGTGGATGAAAAGTAAGTTTCATTGTCTTCATTTGGTTTTTCTTGAATTACGATTTTGTTTTTCTTCTTCCCCTTTGTCCTTTTAAGTCGTTTATTTCTTCTTAATTCATCGAAGTATTCTGGATCAGTTTCTTCTTCAGCTTCTGAGATTGGCTTCTTGTCTTTCCTCGGCCTTCCTCTTCTTTTGGTACCAACCTTGTCTTCTTGTATGGGAAGTTTATTTTTTAATTTTTTAGGACGACCTCTTGACCTCTTGATAATGGGCTGCAATATTTTTTCTACGTTTTCCGTAAGTTTTTCTTGAATTCCCGTTTCTTCTAATTTTCGTTGTGCCCTAGTGAGAATGGTTTTCCATTGTGTGTTTGTAATGTAATCACTAAGTATTGGGTTAAGAAGAGTAGTTAATAAGAGTAATAATGTAGATGTATTATTACTGTCGTGAATATTTTCACTTGATTTTTTATTATCCCCGAATGTTAAAAATGTATCATCGTCGAGCACCTTTTGATTTCTAAATAATTCTTCTTCGTTAGGAATTGGATTTCTTGAAAGAGCGTCTGCATTCACGTTCATTTTACCTGCCTTGTACACTACTTCATAGTTATATTCTGCTAATTTTAATCTCCAACGCGAAACACGTGAACAAGGATCCTTCGAATTTTGAAACCATACTAATGGTTTATGATCAGTTACTAAAGTAAATTTTCTACCGTATAAATATGGTCGAAAATGAGATACGCAAAAAATAATAGCTAATGCTTCCTTCTCGTAAGTGTCATATTTCTTTTCCGTATCGCTTAAGCTTCGAGATGCATATGCAATAGGCTTGTCTTTTCCTATTTTCCCTTGTGAAAGTATTCCTCCAATCGCGTAACCTGATGCGTCTGTTGTAAGCACGAAGGGTTGGGAAAAATCTGGTCTTTGTAAAAGAGGTTCTTCGCATAAATGTTGTTTTAATGTGTCAAAAGCTAATTGTTGTTTGTCTGACCAAATAAAAGGTGTATCCTTTTTTAAAAGTTGGTTTAGTGGATGTGCAATTTTAGAAAAATTTTCAATAAATCTTCTATAATATCCTGCTAATCCTAAAAATTGTTTAATGTTCTTTGTTGTTTTCGGTATAGGAAAATTTTTAACCGCAATAATTTTCCTTGGATCGGGTCGAACACCATTTTTATCAATAATGTGTCCTAAGTATCCTACTTCCGGTCGTAAGAATTCGCATTTGTCTGGTTGTAAATGAAGATTTGCGTTTCTGAGTCGTTCAGCTAAATTATTAAATTTTCTTTCATGTTCTTCGAGTGTGTCTGCGTAAATAACAATGTCATCAAGGTAAACAAAAAGTTCTGTTCCAATTAGTCCAGTTAATGTTAAGTCCATAAGTCTTTGGAATGTCGCGGGTGCTGTTTTTAAACCAAATGGCATTCTATCAAATTCATAATGACCATGAGGTGTTGAAAAAGCTGTCTTGTGTGAGTCATTGGGATTCATTCTTATATGATGAAATCCGGTTGCTAGGTCGAAAACAGAAAAGTATTTTGCGGAAGAAATTGAGTCAAGTATATCATTTATATGAGGTAATGGATATGAGTCACCTATAGTTTTTTCGTTTAGTTTTCGAAAATCTAATACCATTCGCCATTTTAAATTTCCGCTTGAGTCAGGTTTTTTAGGTACGATCCATACCGGTGTGTTATAAGGTGATTGAGAAGGTTTAATTATTTTATTTTTTAAAAGTTCATTTACTTGTTTAGTTATTTCGTCTTTGTGAATTTGAGGAAAACGGTATTGTCTTGAAAATATTGGGCAGTCATCTGTAGTTGGTATTGAATGTCTTAAAATATTAGTTGCTTCTAAAGGTTCTCCAGGCATTTGAAATCTGTCAGCGTTATTTTTTATAAGATTTTCTACATGATCGTATTCGTCTTGGTTTAAATGGTCTAAACGAAGAAGTCGTTTTATTTCTTCTATTCTGTCTTCAATTGTCATTTTATTAAAAGTACAAAAATTTTCTGATATTAAAAAATTATTCAGCAAGTTATTAGTCATGTCATTGTTATCAAATTTTTGAGTTTGTGTGATAGATGTATAAGGGTTGATTTCTTCAAAATCTTCTAATTTAATTGTAGGAATTGAAATAGTGACTGAAGTTTCATTAGTGTTTGCAAATTTTAAAAATGTTTTATTGTCGTAATTTTTTACTACTGCGTCTCCGGCATAAATTCCTGAACCTAAATTCAATCTTGGTATGTAACCTTCATTTTTATTAGTTTCGTCAAGAAAAACTGTAGTTGTTATTATCGTTCGTGCTGGTATTGTTAAAATTTTTGTGGAAACAAAAGGATAAAGATTATTATCTATCTCTAAACATTTTGAAGTGTAATTAATGTTTACGTTATTGTCTCGAAAAAATTCTGTCCCTAAAACACCGTCTTCGTCTACTGGGACTGCATCTGGGATAATATTAAATATTGTTTGATGACCAAAAATATTTAATTTTATTTGCCCTAAAGTGTAAAGAGGTAAATCATTTATTCCGATTAATTTTAAAATATTTTCTGTATCAATTGGAATTCTTGGATCAATTGCTTTTAATTTTAATAAATTTCTTCCAGCTCCAGTATCTATCATCATTCGAGCTGGAAATTTTAAACCGTCGGCAGAGATAATAATTGAGGGAATTGTATTTGTTTGCGAATTGTTTAAAGTAATTTGTTCTTTTGAAACGGGTGTTTTTAAATTTATTCTACCCTCAGTCCACCCTTGCTGGGGGTTGAATTCAAGTTTCCCGAAAAATGAGGTTGTAGTTCTTGTGATTTTTGAATATGGTGTGATTGAGATTGTGATTGTTGTTTAGAATATTGTTGTTTGTTGTATGATTCTTCTCTTCTAGGAGGTCTAATTTTACATTCATTAATATAATGACCTGATTTTTTACAATAATTGCAAGTTATATCTTTTTTGAAAAATCTCTGATTATTATTATTATTATAGTTTTTATTATTATAATTATTATTGTTATTATAATCGTTATTATTATTGTATCGTGAAGTTTGAAAGTTTCTAGAAAGTTTATTCATAAAATTGTTAGAGTTATTATTTTTATTTCTGTAAAAATTGTTACCATTGTTAAAGGGATTTCTATTTTTTGAGAAATTTTGATTATTAAAATAGGGTTTTGAAAATCCTTGTGTTTGTCTTGGTGGACTGTATGTTTTATTTTGTTGTTTTGAAAAGAAACAGTTTTCTGTTTTATGATTTCGTCTCTTACAAATTGAACAAGGTAAATCAGAATCTTGTAAGGAGTGTATTTTTATAGCTTTATGATCCTCATTAATTTTGCTTTTTCGAAGATCTGAACTAGCACTTAAATTCCTTTCTATATCAATCGCGTCGTTTACTATCTCTCGGAATGTGGGTTTTTCTTTCATACGAATTTCTATTTCGGGTCTTAATCCGCGCACAAAGCAATGCTTCACGTCTTTTTCTAGATTTTCTTTAAAAACATCGTTAACTGCATTGTTATTACCTAACCTGTGAACATCTTCAATTTTATCGGCAATTTCTTTTATTCGCGCAGCATAAGATGTAATATTTTCCTTTTCCCACATATATATATTTCCTAATTCTCCCTGTAATTGGTACACTGTTTTAGCTGGCAAATATACGCGTTTCAATTTATTTATTAATTCGCCTACATTTGCTATTTGAGTTCCGTAAATACATTTTCGCGCATCCCCACTTAATTTTGCCCTTAATAATTTTGCTAAATTATTTCGAGCTACTCCTTCTGGAAGCATTTGCTCTGCTTCTAAACACCCTTCAATAAAATGTGAAATTGGAATGTTAGTCCCGTCAAACAAAGGAACTATTTCTAAAGCGTCACGTAAAGATACTTGTTGATTTGTTGGTAGAGCCATTTCGTTATTTTCTGTTAAATTTTCACTATCACTGTTCTCGTCGTGACTGTTTTCGTCGTCACTGTCGTGTGTGCTAATTATGGAATTTTCGAGTCTTTGTTTAAAACTATTTCGTAATGTAGAATTTAAAGAACCGTTATTTTCTAAAATTGTATTGTCACTTTCTTCGTCAGTTTTGAAAGAATTGTTATCAAATAATGAATGACAAATTCCTGAATCTAATTCGGATTTGCAAAAAGGGTTTGGATTTTCGTTAGAGTATCTAGGTGTACCAGTAGCTAAAGGTTTAAAATAGGGAATTCCTGGGTTAAGTTTTAAAGTAGGGTTTTCTTTGATTTTTGATCGAGTTGTATGTTTATCTTGTGTAATATTTTCCTTAGAAGTAGACATTAATTTTTAAAAGAAATGATTTAATCATTGGAATTGATTCTCTCTCGGTTTGTGTTTCAATTTTTTATTAAATTTTAGAATTGTTAATAATAAGAGTTAAAAATTGATTTTAAATGTTTCAAATTTTAATAGAAAATTTTAGAATTGTTAAAAACATGTATATTTTTTATATCTCAAAATAAATTTTTGGAAAAAATAAGAATTAGAAAAAATAATATCATTGATTCTTTATGGCTTTCCCGGCCGATGCACCAAGAAAAGAGGGTATGTTACGTGAAAAGTAACTTACCTCTTAACATTTGTTATCCTCGTTTTAAATAAGAAATTCCGAAGAAATCTTATTTGGGAATGAGGAAAAAGAATCAATGAATAAAAGTTAAGAATTAGTTAAAATGAAATTTATTATAAAATAGTATATAATGATTTCTTGAAGTTCTTTATTTGTATGTTGCCGAGAGAAGACCAGTTCCAATAAACACCTTTAACAAATAGGCGTTTATTAGATATAGAAATTGTATCGAAAGAATATGATGAAAAGATTTAGTTAATTACCTTTATTGCTTCTTTGTGAAGCTGAAAACCCGTTCTCCGCTCGTGCGTCCACAGTCAGTTCAGATGCACCGCCTTTCCAATTTTTACTGCTTGGAGGTTTGACAATGGCTCGGTCACACACGAGATGGGTATTACTTAGACTGGGATAATCGTAGGTAACGAGTATAGATTCGTACTGACTACTGGTACAGAGATGATGTCGATCGCTTTGATTTAATTTAGATACTGACTGGATGCTGACTAGATACTGATTTTTGGATCCAAATTTAGGGCCTTATATACCCAGATCACATCCGTGTATCGACGTAATAGGGTTGTAAAAAGATTGCTCATTGATGGGTGTTTGTCAAGTTTGCTTGGTAACAGGTCTGGTCTAAGGTTACTTAGAGGTCACACACGTGGCATGTGACAATATATATATATATATATATATATATATATATATATATATATATATATATATAAATTAATTTAATAAATTAAATTATTTATTTTTAATTAAACTAAATTTTAATTAACCAAAAAATATTTATTATTGAATTTTTTTTATTTATAACCAAACAACTTGAAAGTAAAAATAACTTAAGCATTAATAAAATAAAAATTTTAAGATTTGTATGTAATTTAGGACATTGTTATATTATTTAAAAATACTTTAGAACATTTTATTAGTTTGAAAATTATTCCAAAAAAAATTTCTTTTACCGCTTCGTTTGATTAAAGTTCCTTTATGTAAGATATTGCCATATAACACCTCAACAGAATCTCCTTCGTCTTTTTTCTCCAAATCCGTGGTCTCCTCCATCACTGTAATTTTTTTCGATTGGTCCCATTGCAATAAAACGAACATTTTTTCGAAGTTACTTTTTTGTAATTAACCAATTCTTCTGTCAGATGTACGTAAACAATAGACAATAGACAAACACATTTTAATAATCGCCAACTTCAAATTTTTTTATAGTGTGATTATTTTGTTTGGATATTTTGTTCTTTTCGAATAAATTTTAAATAAATCGCCAACTTCAAATGGTTTTAAATTGCGATTATTTTGTTCCGTTATTTTACTGTCTTTTTGAAAAGCGAAAGGAAAGCGTCAAAAATCAAAAATAAATGTTTTGATAAATACTCTTTAATACTAAATATTTTCTATTCTAATGAACTTATAATGGAACGACAATTAAGAAATTTGGAAGACTATACAAGAAGACATCAAAGGAGAATCGTTGCGGCCTTGAGAGAATCAAACTCTGAAGATTCAAATCATTCAAATGAATCTGACGATTCGCATTCTGTAAATATCATGTCAAAGATATTATGTTTTTTTAATTGTTTTCATATTCTATCAACATTTAAACTATTTTCTTAATTTCTATCAAATTTCTTTATATCTGTGCTTTATTAAGTCATGAAAAGTTTTGTATAAAAATTCATTTTCTCAAAAAGATGAAAACTAAAAAAGTAAAAAAAAGTGTGAGAAATCGAAAAATCAAAAACTATTTTACATAACTTGATAAATAAATTAGAAATAATAGATAAAATTTTACTAAACTTTAAAATACATTCGTCTCAGAAAGAAAACTTAAAGTCTAATATTAAAATAACTTTCACATAACTTAATTAGAAAAAAATCTTGAGTTAATTATTTATTAAAAATAAATATTTCTTAAAGTAATTAACAAAAATTTTTAATAATAAATTTCGAGGGAAAAATTGTAATTTAAAAATTATAGTATAATTTAGCATAAGTCTCACACAAATTTTAATTTTCAAAAAATTAATATTTCAAGTTTAAATGTTTCAAAGTTAATTATTGATGACTGATATTTCTCAGGAAACTAACGATGAAATTGACAGTGATGAGAATGACATTGATATCAACAATGATTTTGAGGAACAGATTATGCACGATATTTATTCTAACACCAGCGATTCAACAGACAACCAAAGTGTTGATTCTGAATCAGTTTTGGCTGACAGTAGCAGTGACAACAATTCTGATGATTCATTTAGTGAGGCTACAAATTCTTCTGATGATGGTAATTTAAGTTGGGTATTTAAGTAATCCTTTCCAAAAGTTTACAATACACAGATCTTCAAACGATTTTAAGGCGCAAGAAAAATCGCTTTAGTCGATTAAAAATTCTAAAAAGTAGGAAAAGTCGTTTATTTTATTCAGCATTGTAACAAATATTTCATTTTGTATTTCTATAACATTTCATTGATTTTTAAATTCAAAAATTACTTAATTTTATTAAATAAAACATTTAAATACTAGTTTTTTTCACAGGATTAATAATTGAAATTGGATAAAACCAAAAATATTAAAAATAATTAAATTTAAAAAATGTATAATAAAAAAATTCTTAAAACTAGTATTTTAAAAATATTTAAAAATAATTTTTGAATAATAATAGATTTTGCTTTCTCGTAGAGAAAGTTTTACAGCCCTTTCATTTATCAAACTTGTAAAAATGATTTAAACAAATAATACTTCTCTTTTTGTGAACACGATAACTTGAAGAGGTTTTACTGAATTTTGGTACTGATATATTGCTGATTATAAAGAGGAAGCAAAATGTGAAAAAATGTCCAAATTTATTGAAATTCAATAAAATTTTTTGACAATAATTAAATTTATTGAAAGCATTTTGAAAAATACGAAAAATATAACAATTGATTAATTTATTGTTTGAGGAATTTTAATTAAATATTTTGAACTTAATAGTTTTCATAAAAAATTTTATTAATTCTAAATAATTACATTTTTTAAGAAATTTAACCTTTATGGGACTGAGGAAAAAAAAAACCTTCTATGGACGGACGAGGTACCCGGGTACCTATGTTTAATTTGACGATTTCTTATGGATATTATTATTAATTATAGCAACTGAATTACATATTTTATAAACAAATTATGTGTAGTACTATAAAAAATTGTTTTTTGAAATTTTTCATAATTTTTTAATAGAAATTTCAACATCTATTAGCCTGAAATGTATAGAGGTACCCGGGTACCTTGTCCGCCTTTTATGGGTGAAGAAATTTTGTTTATTTTTTCCGAATAAATAAATAAATAAGTTACATTATAAATAATATCAAAACACTTTGTATGGATAGATGTTAGATGCGAAAAAACCTTAGGTTGATACGATTTTCGAAATTATGAATAAAACCAATATGAAAGTGCAGAAGGTACCCGGGTACCTCGACCGCCTTTTATGGGTGAAGAAACTTTGTTTATTATTTCAGAATAAATAAATAAACAAAGTACATTATAAATAATGTAAAAACACTTTATATGGATAAATTTGAGATGTCAAAAAACCCTGGGTCGCTACGATTTTAAAAAATATGAAAAAAATCAATTTTAAAATGCAAAAGTTACCCGGGTACCTCGTCAGTCCCATAAAGGTTAAATGGAATTAATTTTTGTAGATATTAGAATTTGTGTAATTGAAAATATTGAAAATAATTAAATTTTAAATTATAATTTTAAGAATTACTTTTTTAAAATAATTTCTTAATATACATAGATACATCTCTAAAACTAACTTTTATTGTTTTTTCTATTTATAATTTTTAGGAATTTAATTATTATTTAAAAATTTGGATTTAAAATTTTCAAAAATTACAGAACTTTTTGATTTTGTATTTCAAAAATTTAATTATCTTAGAAAAAAATCTACCAAAATTAAATTTGAATTAATAATTTCTTTTTTATATTAAAAAGTAGTATTTTGTTGTAATATTTGAAAAAAAGCTGAAAAAGTCTAATTTTTAGAAATTAAGTCAAAAAAAGTTTCTTTTTCTGAAGATAGTAGAAGAAAGTCCATATTCCGTTTTTTGTCGCTCTCTATTTAATTTTAATTTTATTAGAGTCTTCTTTTTTATGAACTATTTTTTTATTCCATTTTACAGCGTACACTAAATTACTCCTGTTTGTATAGTTTACCCTTAAAAATTTAATCTTTTTTGTAATGTCTTAATTACTATTATCTTAAAAAATGTAATAAGTTTGGAATTTTTTTTAGAAATTCATGATTCCTCTGAAAATGATGACGATGATGATGCCCCTGAAGATGACAGTAATTCAGAAAATGAAAATGACGAATTTGGCAACAATGACGTAGATCCACCGTTGTTTCCAGGATGTCCTCTTAAATTTTCCGAAAGCTTATTATGCGTACTATCCCTTACATTAAGATATACTATTACTGGAGTATTACTTGCTTCAATTTTGGAAGTTATTAAGATGCATTGTCCGGAACCCAATTATTGTATAGATTCTTTATATATGTTCAAGCAATATTTTGAGCATCTGAGGAGCCCTGTTAGAAGACATTTTTATTGTACAATTTGTTTAACAAATATTGAAGAGGAAAATCAACAGTGCCCCAATTGTCTTGATAGAACTGAGAGTAATTACTTCATGTAGATGTCGATAATTTCACAATTAAGTTCTTTATATAGCAGACGCGGATTTCGGGAGAAGTTAAATTATAAAAATACTAGAGTAAAATTAGTTGAAGAAAATATTGAAGACATTTATGACGGTAGCGTATATAAAGAATTGAGTCGAGAAGGGGAAATATTATCTGATCCAAATAATATATCATTCTGCTGGTATACAGATGGGGTTAAAGTCTACAAGTCATCAAAGTTTTCTTTTTGGCCTTTTTATCTTGTGATAAATGAATTACCTTACAACGAACGTTTCAAAAAGGAAAATTTAATTCTAGCAGGAATGTGGTTCGGGGAAGAGAAGCCTTCCCCAAACTTATTTTTACTTCCTTTACACGATGAAATTATTCAACTACAAAATGGCGTTCAATTTAATATACCTGATGCAGACGATCCTCTCGATGTTAAAGGAATTGTAATTTGTGGAACATGTGATCTTCCGGCGAAAGCCCTATTCATGAATATGAGTCAATATAATGGAGTATACGGTTGCCAGAAGTGTAGAGAAGAAGGAAGAAGAATTGGTAGACTACAAGTATATCCTTATCACCGAAATTTTGTTATGCGCTCAGAAGACGAAACTTTGGCAGAAGCTGCGCAAGTAAATAGAAGACCGGTATTTGGTGTGAAAGGATTTACAATGCTGTCTCTTCTTGCCTTTCAATGGATAAGAACCACTGCACTTGATCCCATGCACTGCATTTTCGAAGGTGTTATGAAGGCTATGTTGAACTTATGGTTCAATTCAGAATTTGCTGACATGCCTTGGTCACTATATGAATATATAGATACCATCGATGACCGCCTTCAACACTTAAAACCACCCGGATTTGTGCAACGAAGACCACGATCTATTAAAAAGCATCTAAGTTACTGGAAAGCTTCCTAGATGAAAAATTTTTTTTTTTACTATTCTCTCTTAA